CAAGACAGAAGTAGAGCTCAAAGAAATTTCCCTGCTTCCAAGTTCTCACTCGTTGAGAACTGAGTGTATTTCCATTGAAGGAGGGTCAACATGTGGTAAGAATTTTGCAAAGAGATGAAGGCATCTTTCCCTACGAGCACAAAATCTCTCCCAGACTGCATTGCCAGAAAAAAAAATTAAAAAACCTAAAGTATGTGACACAGAATGACCACAAAGTTCAAATGTGAAGCTCGGATCTATTTTAGAGGGAGGGTCTTAGGTAGATCCTGTCGAGGAGGCAAACTTGAACAAAATCCGAAGCAATGCTAGAAGTCCGGATCCCTGATAAGTTGGCACTGTCGGGGCAGAGAGGAGGGGCAGAGGGCACCCATCAGTGGCGTCTGGCTGCATGTCTCTGAGGATGTTTGCTTCCTTTTGGCCTCTAGTGCTGACATAGTTCTTGATTATAAATAATCTTGTCCTAAAGACCAATTGTTGTAGCTTGGGATAGTCTTTCAATATAATGCTATAGCTTAAAGGAGGCAGGGGTGGTTCTGCTCTATGTACTACAAGAAGTATGCTTTTGACAGTACGGCACGTGTGGTTACATAAAGGGTTATTAGGTACTAATACTTCTCTTAGAAGAATATCAGCTTCCCGAGAATCACAGGATAGCACTTTCTTTACGAACCTCAGAACCTCGAGAAGTTACTGATACACAGGGAGCATTCGGTAAAAGAAGGCATCCTTACCCCTGAGTTTATCATCTGTCAGAATTTCACACACAATAATCCCAAACAAGCAGAATAAAGATGCTCAAGTTAGAGGGTCCATATACACCGTGCACAGGAGACAATGCTACTCACCCCCTTCCATTTCCCAAGTCAGAAGGCAATCTACAAATCTGCATTTCTCACCCATATATAAAGTACTCCTGCTCTGTACATTTGCTCCTATGACTGAGGATGAAAATGGATACTGAAAAATTACCTAGTTTTAATGGATTTAAAGCAAACTCTTGGTTAGGAAGTTTATGCTCTAAGAATCTATGAGTTGCATGACAGTCAAAAACTGATCTGGTTTAAATATTGCTACCATGTCTTAAAATCATAGGCATTATACACTTATACACTTTCCAAATGTGCAATGTCATCAAAGCTTCATGGCATTTCCTACAAAAACTCAATAGTCAAGTTACACTTCATCAGCTGAACTTTGTGTTCAGGTGTGGGAAAAAAAGGGCTACTGGATCAGAACAAAATTCATGCTACCTTGCCTTTGGTAGTACAGAAAGTGAATATCCTGGTGAACATTCACATATATGCACAATTTCGTCGCCTACTAAAAATTTCCATACCTTGGCACTATGAAATAAAGCCAAAACTGTGGCCTCAGGGTCAAAAGTCCATCCTGAGCAATCTGTCTTCCTGTAAAAGGTTGATCAGAGCTCACCTGCCACTAGAGCTTCTCTGGTCATTCAGTTCCAGTTAAATTCCCCATTCTGCCAACACCATAACACAGTGCAGGTCACCACCGAGGTAATATTGCAGTTTTGATGTTGACGTGAGTTTATTATTATTTCATGCCAACACACCATAATCCAAAGCTTATGCTGTTGTAATCCAGGCCTGTTCTGAAGTAGATGATTATGTTGAATGTAGACAAAACTCTAAGAAGTCTCCAGATGCAAAGACAATGCGTCATTGGCTTCTATATTATCTCCACATTTTTAAATTAATTCTTTGAGAATTTGATATATTGTATTTTCATCATATTCATCCCTCTCCCCCAACTTCTCCTAGATCCACCTCCAAATCCATACCCACTCAACTTACTGGTTTTTTTTTTAACCCATCAGTTCCAATCAGTCATGCTTATACACTCTTGAAGATGTGGCCATCCACTAGAGGGTGATAGACCCACCAGGGACTACACCCTAAGGGAAACTAACCATCCTTCTCCAAGGAGCTAACAATATCAATAGCTCCTTAGCTAGGGGTAGAACTTTGTGAGCACCTCTATCCTCCATGTGGGGGCTTTGCCTGTCATAAGCTTGCACATGTTTGCGTCAGGTTCTAAACTGTGGGTATGGCTTCTTTGTAGATAACTTCTCCATCACTGTGAGGTTATAACAGAATTCATTTATGGAGAGCCAGAAGCATGAGTAGGTAAGGTGTCTAGACCCTACAGATTCATTGATAATCTTATCACCATCTATCTACAGAAACAAGTGAGTGTCAACTGTCTTCGTCATGTTTGTACAACTCATTCTTGAGTCAGTATGGTTGGCAGAGGTTTTCCTGACCACAGGCAAAAATAGTAGACCATACCCTTAACTAACCAAATGCTCCTGTTCAGTATTTTAGCTTTAAAATAGCATTCACTCATTTGTTAAATGTTTACTGAGCAAATATACCTACTATGTGCTAAAAGATATAGCAGTGAAAAACGCAATAAAGCCTTACATCCTAGAATCTGTATTCTGAAAATGTCAATGGACAACTTTTAAAGGTACATATTTTCCAGATGGTAATAAATTATATTTGGAAAAGTAAAATTGTACACCTAAACCAGAGGGTTGGAATACACACATTCTATTTTATATGGGAGGGACCAAAGACTAGGTCTTCATTTTGAGCAAAGACTCTCAAGACACAAAGACATGAGCTATATATGTATATGGAAAGAATATTTACAGCTTTTATATCTGGTACAAATACAATGAGATTCACATATTTAATTTTACACTTCCTAATAGCCTCAGTAGACAGTAAGAAACTAACAATACTTAATTTTAGCAGTATGTTTTATGTCGCTGACACACCCGAAGCATTTCATATAAGTAATGTAGAAATTACTGTTGACGGCTCTTAAAAGTCTACTTTTCATGACAGACCTTTAAAAATATCATATGGTTGTCACTCTTGTGACACATTTCAACTGAAGAGCTTAACAACCAGTAGCTCCACAACGTGTCTACAGCTAATGCCCTCTAAAGGTTGAAGTGCCATAAATTTTCAGAACTATGAGAAAGCATGTATGTCTCTGAAGAAGAATACACAGCCCTTAGCTACTGATATGCTGTGAGCATAAGAGAGAGGATAGAGGGTCAGCAGCCAAATTACGTATGGCTACATGACCTTTGTAAGAACTTCCACCCATTAGCATCAGCAAAAGTTGCAGCCACTGGATGAGGCGGTGGTATGGACTTGACATCTGTACAGCTGTTCTAGGCCCCGTTTCTGACTTAATGATCTACTGCTACTATCCTAACATTCACAAATTGGGAGCAAAAGGCTCCCACATTTTCATTTATACTGAGGCCTATAGATTACACAGCTGGTTGAAATGGAAAGACTCTGATTAGAGAGTGAGTTAAATTCTTTTGGGATCTAAAAAGAAATTTCTAGTTTCTGTGTTAAGAACACAGTGTAGGAACCACAAATGTAAACATTAAAAAAAAAACCTAGGCCACTGATGACAAGATCCAGGTGAGAGATGGTGGTGACAAATGACACTAAAGGAGAAGTCAGTTACTCCTGTGTGCCTGTATCAGCAGTATCACAGGACCATGCTGCCTACAGTGACTTCCTGGTAGCCCAGGCCAGCTTCCTGCTGATAACAGTTCCCATAATAGCTACCCATGATTCATAAAGTGCTGTATATTTCTATCATTTTAATTTCTTAGGAGATAAGGGTTATGAATCTTCTTGTTGATCTTTTAAAAATAATAATAACAATGAGGAAAATGCAGGGTATCAAAAACTGCATAAAACAGACAATGGAAATTCTCCAAAGTAAAAATATGGTGATGTCACAAAGTCGGAATCCCCAGTAGGGAATGAAATGGACCACTTAAAGAGAGAAGAAAAGAGGGGCCCTAATGAGGCTGAATATCTTACTGCATTACAGTGGTAGACCTGCTTGTGCATTCTCTCCACTGATTCCAACTAAGTAAAATTGAAACATTTACACAACAAGTGACCCTACCACCCCCAAAATAGTCCACATGAATTCAGTCATTGCTATGGTCTGGGTGTGACACCCAATGTATGTGTGTTAAAATATAATCACCAAAGTGTATCAACAGGTGGAGTCTTTGGGAAATCATTGTCATGAGAGCCATGACCCTCTGTATGGGGTAACAACCTCACATAAGGGCAAAGGGGACTAACTCCGCCTTTACCGTCTTCTGCCATCACTCGTGAATAAAGCACTTGCCCTGGAGGAGGGTGTACTGATAAGGTGCCATCTTGGCAGCAAAAAGACCTTTCTCAGACGCCAAACCACACACATTTGGATCCAGGGCTTTCTAGTGCCTAGAACTGTGAAAGACCAAATGTCTACTCCTTACAAAACAGTCTCAGGCAGTTTGCTACAGCAGGAGGAATGGATGACAACAAGATGTCATCAAGCAAAGTTCATCTAAATGTAAAGTACACCAAAGGTCCATTTAAGACACAATCCCTAAATACACCAGTCAACGTTCATAAGGAAAAACGTAAACATCATCGCCGAGGGATTCTTATTTCTCATCTATTTGTCTTTCCATTGCTAGAGACTGGACTCAGGGCCCAGTGCTTGCTGAGAGCATGCTCTTCCCACTGAGCTGCAAACCCAGCTCTTACCCCCACAGGCTTAAGTTAGTATATAAATATAAATTAAACATATTAAATATAAGTATATACAAACATATAAAAATAAATGCATATATATAAATGGACATATGAGAGTAAATGTATATAAACACAAATTGGTATAATTACACATTGCTTATGATTGCAAATTTGAAAAGAAATCTCCATTTAGTTCTTTGGTAATCAAAAGAAAATAGACACCTCAAGCTAAAAATGACACAGCACAACTATTAGTAAATTGAATACCAGTAAGTAAAACTTGATACATCCTAATCTAAATTAAAAAACAAATACTTTATCTCCCATAACCCCAAATCTCTCTGAAATGTCAAACATGTATGATCACAACTCTCATCCTATTAAAGGGTTATATCAGCTACTCACTTTTTTCTGAAGAACATTGATTTTTCTTTCCTTTACTTCTAACATGTCTTTCATATCACGGATCTCCCCAGCCAGGGTCCCCTTCTCTTCTGTGAGGTCCTGCAGCTGTTTTGTTTTCTTATTGAGAAAAGATTCTTTCTCTTCCAGCCGTAATCTCAGAGCATCTACCTGAAGTGTGGACAAAGAAGGAAGGTTTTGGTTTTACAAAGATGCTGTCAATAATCAGTGCTGTCCAAGAGCAGAGGAGGCCGCAGGCAATACCTGAGCTCAGCTCCATCAACTGTCTGTTCAAAGACACCTTGGCGGGGGCTAGAGAGGAGGCTCAGCAGACAGAAGCACTGGCTGGCTGTGCTTTCAGATGACCCAGGTTCAATTGTGGTACCCGCACAGTACTTAACGACCATCTCTAACTCCAAGGGATCCAGCAGCCTCCTCTGGCAGCCGTGGACACACATCGTGCACAGGCATACATATAGGCAAAGCATCCACGTACATAAAATAAGAATAAACCTTTTTAAGTCACCTCAGGGCATTTTAGCAGCCTACAATCTACCAAGACATCCTGTTGTGCAAATAGCTGAACAGTAATACTTAAAAAAAAAAAACCCATAGTGTTCACGAAATAAGGCGTTGCAAAATAGAAGCGTATCCTCGTGTTTGTTTCCCTGCTCATGGGAAACAATGTGTTTGGTTAGGGCGGTGAACAGGGCACACTGACTCCTCCACGGGAGGTCCCTGGGAAGGGAAACATTGCTCATGCTTTGCAGGGTCTTCCAAGAACACTGAGAACACAGAGAGCATCTGGATGGACAAGATAGACGCGTCGAGAAACTGCTAAACTAGAAACACGCAGGGGGCCTTGAGGAAGCTGTGCTGTCAGGGCGAGGAAAGACATGGGAACAAAACAGCCATTCTCAAGGTGGATGGTGATTGCTTCCCAGGCACCTTTTAAAGACAGCAAAGAGCAAAAAAGGAATTCCCATTTCCACCTGAGAGACATTAGAAAATCAAAACTCCCGTTTTTCAAATGTTACTAGTTAAAGAGAGAGAGAAAAAAACATAAGCTTTATGAATTCTTACCTGTGTGTGATTATGTACACATGTATGTGAGGATGCACATGGAGGCCACGAGGTGATGAGAAGTGATTTTTTTAACTGTTTCCCATTCCCGTTTATTATTCTTTTTTCCAGTCATGGTATCTTACTAAACCCAGGGCTCACCAATTCGGTTATTTCAGTTATATTGATTGACCAACAAGCCTATGGCATCCCAGAACTGGGATTACAGATGCATGTTGTCACATGTGGCTTTTCTCTGTGTGCTTTAGATTCCAAACTCAGGTCTGCACACTCGCACTCTGCGTGTCTTCCTGACTGAACCATCTCCCCAGCTGCAAAATGTGTATTCTAACATTCTGGCTGCCATGCACACAGCAAGTTTTACTTCTGCACTCCACTACTCAGATCAGACTACAGAAGAAAGTCACTGAAGTATCACAAATAAGAGAATGCAAAGAATATGAAAACCACTTAAAATTAATTTTGTCTTTTCAAACTCTCCTTATCAATTTACATCACACTCTCACTCATGTTTACAAATGAATACTGTGCCAGCTTCTAAGAGCAACTGTGACATATTATACGAAGGCTTGGTGTCTTTAATTATTATTAGTAACTATCTACAAGTTTTCCAAGAAGATTCTTTGCTGAACAATGACATATAATACATTATTTCCAAGGTATTTGTTTTTCTCAATGAGATGTTTAAAAAAAGCTGGAAATCATGGCTACAATTGTTGTGCTACCATTTCAGCAGACATCACTGATGGCATCTGAATGTCCCTGTCTGTCTTTAGACACTGTTCTACTGCTGTGAGGAGACCCCATAGCCAAGGCAACTCTCATAAAAGCAACCATTTGATGGGGATTTGCATACAGTCTCAGAGGGGTCAGTCCCTTGTAATCATGGTGGAAAGCAGATTCGCAGGGAGCACGATTCACATGGGGGCGGGGCTGGTGCGGGCTTTTGCGGTTTCAAAAGTCCATCTCAAGTGACACACCTTTTCCAAGAAACACAGCCCTCCCCGTAAAGGAACACACCTCCTAAACCTTCTTAATAGTTCCTCAACTGGGAACCAAACATTCAAATATCTGAGCCTATGAGGACCATTTTCATTCAAACAACCACACTGTCACTCCATAATGCTTAGAGTAATCAATTCCCCCAACGAAATGATATTAAAAAGTAGGGCAGAGGAAGCTGTGAGTGAATGCGTAAAGAGAAGTCCCAAGTGAATATATACTGTTTGACATGGGCATGACCATTTCATTCTACGTTTCCTGAAGAAGGGACAGTAAGTTTGGCTACTTAGGAGGAAATGGGAGCAGTACTAAGAGATGACAGACATGGAGGTGGATTCCTCTTTTTACTTTCACTTTGTAAAGTCTTGTATATGATTCCTTAGGAAAGAAACGTTTGCTCTACATGTTAAGAGAGCAGACACATAAAGCAAAGAGCTATCAAAAACTCACAAAACCATATAGCTTTATAATTTATATGCCAATATACTTAAATTAGGAATTTCAATCAATTTGGAAAAAAACAAATATTCAACTAAGAATCAGCAAACATACCATTCTCTTTCATGACTAAGAGACTGAACAATAGCAAAACCAAGTCCAGAAACTAAAACACCGTATGAGGTGCCTGAGCGAACAGAGGGTTTGGAAGATAACAGGTTACTGATGGATGATAGGGTGCCATGGTGATGGACATCTGACCCCTGCTCTCCACAACAGTAAAACGAACGGCTAGCATCGTCATCAACCACCAAGAAGTACAAACGTGAAAATAACCAGGCAAAGGGGGTGGAGGAAAAGGATGGGCAGCAAGAAGTGGAAGAGACTGCCGTGTGCATTAGAGACTGCCGTGTGCATTAGAGACCGCCGTGTGCATTAGAGACCGCCATGGGCATTGAGACCGCTGTGGGCATTAGAGACCCCTGTGGGCATTAGAGACCGCCATGTCCATTGGCTCCAAGTCTGTGAAGATCAGGACAAGTGACCCTCCTCCCACCCCAACCTCCATCCTCAGTTTCTTGACTCTCAATGCCTGACCATCTTGTGTTAGTAAAGGCAGGCATTTGCCTTGCGTAGACTGCATCAGGAGAGGATAGTGTTAAAAACAAGGAAGCTGCTGGACTACAATCTTCTTTGTTCAACCTTTCCAAAAAAGCAGGGTGTGTACGCCAAAGCTATATTCTAAAATGTCAAAGGTTCTTACAGTTTTGGACCCAGAGAAGAAGATGGAGCTGGGAATTCCCATGAAGGAGCAATGCCTGGAGCTTGGAGCTGCGAGGCAAACATTTCTGACTTTGTATACTACTAGAGAGGGTGGACACTCTGTGATCAGGGACTGAGAATCACAGGCTCTTCATATATGCTAGCTATGTTTCTTCCTACATTGGCCATGAGTACACGGGGCTGGCAGAGAAGATGGCAGAGCAACTCAGATGCTCAAGCCTTCCTAAATGAAAATGCCCTGGCTTCCCACCTAAGCATCTCAGATTCTGAAGTGGTTCATCAACAACTGAATTCAGCTTCTCCTGGCAACCGGGACGCCACCATCACTTCTCTTTGGGTTTTCTTATCCGGTAATAAAACAGGGTTTTCACTTCATGATCAAAGCGAGGTCATCTGGTCAGCTCCTTGAAAACCAGCAGGACATAGTCTTCCATATTACAGCTGTCATTTGAAACAGTTTTCATCAATCAGGGATTTTCACACGGACTCATTCAGTGGGATTCAGAGAAGAAATGTTGGACTGTGGCTGGGTTAGGCCTGCATCCTAGCTCTCAAATGGATGCTATATATGTGGACCAAAGGGACATGCCCGCCATCAAAACTGTGACAGAGGTGAACCCCGGTGAGCAAGGCTGAGAGCAGAAGTGGGGAGCAAACATTTGGAAGAAGAAGCTTCACAATCGTGAAAACTACGAACAGCACTTAGGACACTTTCTCACCACCTGTGATCTGGCAGTGCCCTGCTGAACCATCCTGAGCCCAGAGGACATTAAAATCAAGCCCTGCCGTGAGACTATTTTTCCTAGACTAACACAGAACGCAAGGATGGCTGTGATCAACACACTCCTCACAACACCCAAACTCAACATGGCAGGGAGGTGCCTGTGCCAGCTGAGGTCTTCTGTTCGGGAGTTTATTTTCCATGAGCCATAAGCATGAACTTAACTTCAAAGGAATTTGGATCACACCTTCCAATCACCTTCACTCTATCTGTAAAGCTCTGTACAGTCTTCTAGAATCAAGGGGGGAAAAACTTGAGGCTCGTTCTTTTTTTTTAAATAAAAAAACTGACCTGAACTGCATCCAATTCTCAACCAACATTATCTCAGCTTGCAGTAAGCAAGTATGACATCATTTCTAAAGTCAAACTTGAACTTCCAGATGGTGCAAAACCACAAGCAGGCGTGCAGGCCTTCTGATGCGCAGAAGTTTGAAGATAGGTGGAGGGCAGGCAAGAAGGAGCAGGAAAAATTAGAACGTGTAGTTCTAAAATGGGTATCAACGAGTGCACTAGAGCTGCTCCTACTAACATCCTGATATCTGCCGACAGTGTGCATCACTAAAAAGGAGAGAAAGAAGTTGGGAAAGCCTTCCTATCTAAGTCATGGACCAACATCAGGTATAAAGATAAAAGTTGAACTGCTTGGGAATGTGGAATACCTTTCTCTGCCCCTTCACTCAACACTAAATAATTTTAAGAGCCTTTGACACTCTCTCTTAAACTTTGGCAGTTGACTCAATAATAATACTTGGCAAAGTCAAGATTGCTATCATTTCCCAGAAAAAAAAGAATTGTGTGATACAGTCAATTCACAAAGACTCATATGGTTGAACTCCTATTTTTCCCCTATCAGTTAACTGCAGGAGACCTTGTCACCTAGTGTTTAAACCAGTAACAGTTTTCCATGTTAGGAGAATTGCTTGTGTCCTTCTGATTCAGTTTGTGTGTGTGTGTGTGTGTGTGTGCATGTGCACGTGCGTGCGCACGTTTGTGTGTTCATGTGTGTGTGTGTCCATGTCCCTGTCTGTGTGTCCATAAAAACATGAAACACACGAAAAATTAACTTTTTATATGGCAGCATAAA